TTACCGCATAAATTGTAGACCCGGTACTTCGCAAGCTGCCGGAACCTCGAATGTGGACGAAGGTAAGACGTCAAGTTCGTTCATGTAAATAAAAATTGTGTCATCAAGAAGTTATAAATAGTGCCTTGCAATGTGCTCGAATTGTTCACTTAAACAGAATCTATCTGTTATAATTATTACACGACATCTTACGTAGTTTTACGTAACACTCCATGCTTATAATTTAATATTTTAAGACGTAGAGGTACAATTGCTTTCCTGATTAAATTTTATAACCACAAACCTCAAGCATTAGTCCCAAATGGCTTGTCCCGTCCCAATTGAAACCTACGTTGGTCAATGAATAAAATTGTTTTAAATTTAAATTTTTATTTTTAATTTAAAATTCCTTTCGGGGTATATTTTTTCTTCCATGTCCCCAACATTTTACCGTCATTTATTACTATGTTAAAAGATTTAATCTGACATCTTTACAACCTATAATTCCTCTCCATTTCAACTCAGATGTTGGTCTCGGAGCGTTACGTCTGCTATCGACGACAAAAATATAATCTCTCTCGTTTTTCCCTTCACATCTGAAACGAACTGCTCTATTTCATATTAAGTGTGGGATTGGATCTATATGTTACTTAGGCCAAAATGACTTCAGTTACGAAAAAACGAATGAGGATAATTCAGTCAGTAAAGCGACTGAGGGCTGTATAACCAGAGTTCGATTCCCTGCATCAGCAGGGGTTTTTCCCCTTCGTGACCTCCTATCCAGTGGGCACCAGAGGCTGTTTCCCTAACGGAAAAGTGGCTATACTTCTACTGAAGGAAGGAAATCACTTGGAAGGTCTAGATATCGATGGAAGGATAATATTGAAACTGACCTTATATGATGGGACTGTGTGGAATGAATCCATTTGGTTCTTAGAATGTGACAGTGGCAGAATCTTGTGGAAATTGGTAATGAACCTTCAGATTCCATAAAATGCAGGATAGCTGAGGAACTACTAGCTTCTCAAGCACCTTTTTTTCCGTGTACTTGGTAGCTGATTCTCTCAGAGCAGTCACCTGAAACGACATTGCAGAACATTTAAGTTCTGCTGTGTCCCACTCACGGAGAATTGGGATCGAAGTTTATTAGACCACGCCTTCGCTCCCGCGAAAATTGTAAAGAACGCCAATGTTGACGTTTTACGTCGTTACGCTGTGCAGACCTGCACCTACAACATTAATCCAAATCCGAATCCTTACGCTATGCTGTTTGTTTGTTTGTTGCAGATCTGGTGAATCACTTTTGAAGAATTCATTTGCAACCACAATGAAAACTATACTGAGACAAGAAATTAACATCAGATGCCTGGGTTTCAGCCACGACAGACCAGAGCAGTTTGTACGATGTCAGGTAACTTTGTTCTCTTTTATTCCATACGGAGAAACTATTATTCCACAAAACGTACAGAACGCTTGAACTTCAAAACTTTCATTTTGAGAAATTCTACAGCAAAAAAATAAACGCAAATTGAGTCTGAGAGGATACATACATATGTATGCAATCATGAAATTTTGTTTGACGTACAAATTATGACAACCGAGTAAACGAGGGCTTCCTCACACAAATCTGATAAATTTATCTGTACCAGCATAAGAACGGTAACTATGATGACCATTCTGTACATGGTTTGCAAGTTAGAACAAAGGCTTGTGATTTCGACTCCATAAGTTATTTCATTACGCTGTTTCAACAGCAAATGTTAAACAGCATTGAGAAGACATAATAAAATGTTCAGTTTGCATGCATATGGTACGAAAGTTATTGCCTATTTCAAGTTAACAGCCGATTGCCTCGAGAGATTAAGGAAAACCACAGAATGAAGGACAGTCAATAAAGCAGCGAAGGCGCAAACCAGTTACGACTAATACAGCTGTCTATAGTCATCTCAATCAGCCAAATGCAACATTTACCGTAGCGCTGTCCATTTAAGAAAGAAACTTTAAGTACAAAAAAGTCACAAAACAAACCTCAGAAAACCCAAAAATGTCTCAATCTCAGTAGATTCTGTACAGATATGTTCATTGCCCACGGCTCCGTTCACAGATATAATTGATCGTCCCCGAATTATCGTGTTTGTGCTAACACTGGGCACTATATACTGTATATTTTCTTTCCCAATTCAGTGGCAAAAGAATGATGGAGTGAGCATAATTTACCTTGTGTACCGGTGGATATTTGGAATTCTCTTCCTGAGCGTGTGGATATGGTCATTTTTCTCTGCCGCGCAGCAGAACACGCCGACAGAAAACTTTCTGAGCAAGTGGCCAATATATCTGACGAACTGGGGCTACACGCTCTGCACCGCACAAGCGCTACTGGCCGCAGGCCTCGTCACCCAGCAGCTTGTCAAGGAGAGGAAAACTGGTGCGTACAACAGGAGCAGTCGGGACGGGTCTGGGCTTCTGCAATGAGAGACGACTCAGTAGCACCAACAAAATCTCAGACTTTTAACATTTTACTTCACAGAGAGCCACGTCATATTACACTCACGAACAAGGTTTGGCAATACGCAGATGATTTGAAGGGTACCGGGTCAGAGAGATTTGTGGTTCTCAAAGTGGCAAGTATGAAGACTGAAGTATCCTGGGTTCATACACCATGTAGTCTAGTAGACGTTTACCATTGTTTCAGAGGTACTTGCTGCTTCAATCATCAGGGCTATGAGAACATGAAATATGCCTCTAACTTCAAGGTCACAAAGATGGAGGCAGTCTATTCCTCCAAAATGTTGGTACCGAGCTGGACTTACCTGGTGGACTTACTGTCCTGATAACTGTGTTGAACTCTTGCAGGTTTTACCACAGACCACGCACAGACACCCGTAATATACAAAGCTTACTGGCTGCTGCACACACTCGCTGTGGTTACTGCAATTAGTATCACCGGCTCTTACTTTGTTATAGATTATGACCCAGGTAAGAATTAAACAAACCAATTCCATTTATTTATTTCCTACTCATTTAATTTATCGCTCTTCGCATCTTTTATATTTCGAAACAAGTCAGAGGAAAACGCCAGAAATTTTCCATGCACAGTTCAGGACATTTAATATTTTCTGTGCTACTGCCTAGTTACAATTTGAGATTAATCTAATGGCGTTTCATTAAGTGTTTTTGGAATTACAAAACAATAAGTTATTGTTTTTAATTTAAATTAAATACTTTTGGTTCTATTAAATTATGAAAAAATTCAAATACACTAACAGAAAAAGGTGTTCTGTAAACACTAACACCATCAGAATGATCAAATGACACCCTGCCACTGTTTACAGTACAAGATTATTTTAATTTTTGTTGATGTTCCTATATTAGTACTGCTGAGATCTGAGGTTCTCACAGTGGTGAAGAAGTCGATGTCAGTTTTCTGAGTTCCGTAATCTCACGTGGACTTGTAAGTAGGTACCAAAATTTTGGAGAAACATTGGTAACTTCCTGTAAGACCACATGGTTTAACAACCCAGATGATAAACATTGATACTAGTATTAAGATGTCTGTCTTCTGGGTCGTTGCGCTGCGAAGTCTGGTAGAAGTTCACCGACGTTTCGGAGGTCCTTGCTGCCTCCATCCTCCCTGATGATGGAGACAATGAGGACCTCTCAAACGTCGGTAAACTTCTACCAGACTTCGCAGCGCGACCCAGAAGACAGCCATCTTCTGACTCACTGCCATGAAAAACACAAATCCTACTTAGATACTTGTATTGCTGATACAAACCTACTTTCTCACTTAAATGACAGTATTTTGCCTGCCAGTGTTAAACCAAAGTCAAGTAGATCAGCGCACAAACAGCAAACTTAAAATGTGGAGACTACATATAAAAATTAGTGATGGCACTTAAGCTACCAAGGTGCAGTGCGTAAAGAACGCAATAAATGGCCTCTTGGTATGTTCTGTAACACAAACATTTCTGTTCTAGCTGTCCACAACCTGACTGCACTGAACCTCCTCATGCATGCCTTCAATTCCATTCTCATGGTGCTCGACATCATTCTGGTGGCTCACCCATTCAGACTTATCCACTTCTGCTGGTCACTCTTGTTTATATTCGTCTACTTCTGCTTCTCGGTGATATATCATCTTGCTGGTGGCACTGGCAAGAACAACGCTCCTTCCATTTACCCTGCACTGGACTGGAGTAAGGTTGAAAGTACTCTGCCAATCGCAATTTTAGGCATGCTGGCCGTCATTCTAGCCCACTTCTGCACGTGGCTGGCCGTAATTGCACGCAATCGAATAGCCAGATCCAAGGATGATAAGTCCGAAGAACCGAAGATCTCTAAACTGTCATCCAATCAGGTTCAACCAATGGATGTTGTCATGTCATGACGGCAACAGAAATTATGTGATAAAACTACTTTATAAAGAATGTTGTATGGTAACACAAATTTAAAAAAACTCAACTTCACAGTTTGGGTGAAATGTGCTCCAAAATCTAGGTTCATTGAACATTCAGAAATGCGCTAACAGCTGAAGATGTGGATCACTGGAAATTATTTTGCGAGCAAAATTAATGACAGGAACAAGAAAACCTATAAAAAATAGTTAAGGATAAATACGCAGATACCACATAACATACAGCAACTGTATTGCATAAATATTTCTAATTAATACAATTAAATTGCAGTCAGTAGATTATTTCTGTTAGTAGAAACCGCTGATTAAATTTTATAAACCATACACACACATGATTTTTTCTTCAATTTAACCTTTAAAAAACAGTATTCACTTTTTGTTCATGCGTGCTACTTGCTTTATAGAAGAATAAATATTTTATAAGGCTAGCAAATATCACTAATACCTACCTCTGTTTATAACATGTCTGCCTAATTAGGTACAATTTAGACTACCTTAAAGCCTGACTCTAGAACATGGAGAGGGAAACACACACAAAATTCTTCCAAACTTAATTCACGATATCAAATGTAGGAGGACTCCAATGAAAACTGACCGCATGCTTCTATCAAAACTGGTATTGCACTTAAAATACAAAGACACTTCAAAATTTGTGTTAATTCTCGTTGTACATTCAGCGTAGCCACCTACATGTTTAAAATGGTGTTCAAGTTCAGTCCAAAAGTAGATGGAGGTTAGTAGCTGCTTTCATGCCGAAAACCCACTTAACCTGCAGGGTACAGTCCCCAGAGCATATGAGATAGGATGCTGGTTGTTCCCTTAAACTGATATAGACAGGATGGCCAATATAAAGAACTTGTCTCTGCCACGAATCTTTGCTGTCCTGCCAGAAACTGCTCTATCTATTGACTCGAGTAGCCTGGTTCATAACCAGTTATATGTATAATTATATTTTGGGACATATTGAATAAGAATGGTAGATGAGGTAATACATAATTGTCTATTATTTTCAATTCTTTTAAGGAAACAATATAAAAACAACGGATTTCAAGGCAAAGTTCACGGAGGGATTACCGTAACAACACACCTCTCATGTACCGACAGCCGTACCTTTATCCACCTTCTTCTGTTTCCTAACTTTGAAGCGACTCTTTCTGTCACGACATTTCTGTATCGAGGGATCCCGCTTCTTGCTTCGTTTTTCTACCTTCAGCCGCTGCTTCTCTTCTTTCTATTAAAGTAATATGTAATTTTACTTAATTAAACACGGTACTTACTACAGTATTCATTGTTACAACAATTACATGTAACGAAACAAAACGCCACAGATGAAATTAAAGAACTCTCATATCGAGACAACCGGCCTGAGTATTGGTTATTCATTTTCTTCCTCCAAGGAAATGCTGGGAAAATATTACATAACCAAGATCTTATTTACCACCCACTGGAGCAGTGGTGCCTTTTGTATATGCTTACCTTTTGAAGCGGGGAGTGAGGCGAAGGACAAGCGGAGCAACAACAGAGAAAACTAATGTTGGAGCATTAAAAATTACAACTACTGAAATGATTGGCAAATTAAGACAAAGACGGCAATCTTCTGATTTATAGCACCATGTGGTCTGGTAGGAGTTTACCAAATCAGTGAACATCTACAAGATTGTATGACGCTACACCCTAGAAGGCACCCATTCTTGTTTGATTGGGTTGGGTCAAAAATTTTGAAAAATTATACAAATTACCAAAATTGGCTAAAAATGTAATAAAGCCAAAAAAATTTGAAAATTCAAAATACACAGCCCTCATATAAGTTCACCGCCATGAGAACCACAAATCCTACAAATTCTAAACAATTTCCTATTGCAGCAATTGTTGTATTCCCATCAGTGCACCTACATCACTTAAGAATTAACGAAACGGGGGAGCACAGCAGATCACTGACCACAGTATATGGGCTTCATATGTCCACCGCCAACTGTTCCAAAGGATTCTATTAATATGCTATCTGAAAGGAAGTGGGTGTGGCCCATTGTAAGGTTCCGTTCCAGAATGTCTGGAAGGAACAAGTAAAAAAAATCCTTACGACAGCAAAGTTCTGGACCAAGAACCTCCATAATACCAAGAATTATTCCTACCTCAAGATTCTCTTTGAGTTGTTCCAGTGCAGCCTTGTACTTGTCTTCCAATTCCTCAAGCTGTGACTCTTGTACGTCAATTTTCTGTAAGGAGCCCTTTCCAGCTACACCCAGCATCTCATTAAACTGTGCCACCTGTAACAATTATAAGTGACCTACTTCACGCATCTGCGATTGCTTGAAATTCTTGTTCAGATAAGGAACCAGTAAACGGGAAAATACCACATTTCTATTTCAGAAACACAGTGTGTTGGAAAAAGTTTTAAACAAAACTTATAGATATTAATGACATATAAATCGTTTTCCATGTGTCATATTCTTGCATGAAGAACCATTTGTGAGAAATTTTAAAAAGTCTGTCTCTGAGTTTCATGTAAACGAGAGTTTAAATTATCATCCACCTGCTGACACGGTCTATGACCGGTCATCGTTTCCACACTCGCATAAACCGTGGTTACCAGGTTTGTTGTGTGCCAATTAAAGGATTACTACACACACTCAAGTTTCCCTATAAGTTCATAAAAACTTAAAAGTTGTAAGCACAGGTGAGCAAGCCAAACTTAACGTCTGGGTACACACCTGACTGTCCAGTAGAAATGTAACTGCAGTACCACTTCTGCCTGCCCTCCCAGTGCGTCCCACTCTATGGATGTAGTTCTTCACCGACTTTGGTTCGCTGTACAGCACAACATATTCCACTCCTTCAATATCCATACCACGTGCCAATGCGTCAGAACTTATCAACCTGTAACGAAGTATCAGTAATATGCATTACCTAAAATGTCACTCTTCTTAATTAAAAACTACACGGCAACAAAGTGCTTATTTTTCGCAAAAGACTGTCACGTCAAGGACACCACCAACTTGCCAAGTTTCGCTGCAGAGACCTGTAGTGTTCAATTTAATGATAGTGAAACATACTTTTCATGGAAAGAAATCTAAATGAAATACTAAACAGTCGAAACTGCAATAAATACAGAGAAATTCAAATGTTCCTGTGTACATTTAGGAACATATTTCTCATGGTGAATTTACAGTTATAAACATACCACAAATGCTTAGAGGAAGGCTTTGGAAGTGCCAAGGCCATTTTTGGGTGCCCGCGTTGTTACGGAAAGAGGTTATACTGAATAATGAAGGCCGTTCAACCACGAACATTATAAAAACAAAGCACAGATCTCGACTTACTGATGCCCATCTTGACGATTGTTTGCAAGCAGCAACATATCCTACACTCCCAAATTTGAAAAACTGGCCGATGAAATGCAGCGCCAAACATCACACTAACTTCCCACTTGAGTAATAATAATTGTACTTATAAAACTACGTATTTTTGATTGCGTGGTTTCTTGTATCATTAAATGTTGTGTTGTTCTGTGTATTATTTGGTGTCCAATACTTATTTGTCCAGAGAAAAGAAAATTTGGCTTTGTTAATTGGTTGGTGCCCGCCACAATCTCATAAACTCTCAAATGTGTCCGTAGGCACAAAAAGGTTGGGGACCATTGATCTAGACCTTTGAATTACTTGGCTGCTCAGTTATTCTTAGCAATTCAATGTATAACAATCCATTACTCTGTCTGTGCCACTCAACATTTAAATTAATTAGAATAACACCATCAGGAAGAAGTAAATTTAAATTTCAATGGAAAATGTTACGCAACTCAAGGGAAAACAACAACACTAACATGAAACCATCACTTCAAAACCTTCTTCTATATATGTAACAATAACACTTCTATTCTGCTGTAAGAACTCACACGTCAATTCCTCCGGCTGCAAACTTCGCCAGGACTTTCTCCCTAGCAGGACGTGACAGCCTAGATGAGATCTCGGCAACCTTAAAGCTATTCCGCCCAAGGTGAGACAGAAGCAATGATAAACGATGGGCGTCTTTCCGTGAACCGACAAATACCAGTACATGCTGCCAACTGTTGGATGTGATGATGTAGTGTAAGATCAGAGGCTTGCTCTCTGGTGTCACAATACAGATATATTCACTCAGCTCCGCAGGTGTTGTGAACTTCCCAACAAAGTCTCCCCTCACTGCCTCACCTTTACCTACACATGGCAAAATATTGTCAGCTCTTACAAGTTTCCAAATACTAATATACCAGAACATCGTTCTTGTAAATCCTTTGCATAAAGTGTATAAAACGAATACATAATGTAGATGTAAGATCTATGTCTCTTTTCCCAAGTCTGATATTGAGAAAATTACTCTAAAATTGTTCCAGCAAATTCCACTTCTGTCTATATTCCTTCATGATGACTCATACTTTACACGAATTCAAATCAAACTTAAATATCTGAAAAAGTTTATCATACAAAGATATAGCCATCAGCATCATCTAGCTAAATCAGTGGTATTCAACCTGGGGTACGTGAAATTTAAAATATATATATATATATATTATTTTATGATAAACACTGAACAATCAGTAACGTAATTTATTTAATTTATTTTAGATGTAGATTATATACTATGTATAACTTGAATTATACACCAACAACTTTGGGGGTACAAAGTTGAAGAGAAATTATATCTGGTGGTACGCAAACAAAAAAAGGTTGAATACCACTAAGCTAAATGACCTACTCCATCCTCGGTTGTGTGACAGTCTTTTCAGCCATTGTTCTAGACTTCTTAATCCTAATGATTTGTATTTTATTTCAGTATTACCTTGGTAAGACAGTTTTTGGTCAACACATCAAAATAATTACTACTGTTAAAAAATTTGGCTAATTCTGATTCAGTCTTTAGTTCACCCAAAATATTTTGGTCCATTTTATAATTTCCTACTACATTTTGCAGGCCATGATACACGTGGTGTGTGACATATCAGTACATTATTAACCAACCTCTATCTTCCAATTGGTCATTGCCAACAACTGAGGTGAACAGTCTGGGCTGGAAAAGCCCAAGTTGCTGCAGTTTCTCAGGATCCTGTGTGAGTGTCGCAGAGAACAGGAGCTTCTGAGGAGGTGGACAGGAGGTTGATTCTAATGTCGCTACTGTGAGGGCAGGAGGGTGACAACTGGATGAATTACCTGAAACAAAGCATGCATCAGTGAAACATATGTGCATTTGTTTCACAAAACAAAGAACAGAAGTAAACAAAAATTTCTTAACATATGCATCCCAGCCTCCAAAAGAATGTCCAATTATGGAACTTACCGACATTGATGTGAGAGTACAAATGGTACAGCCAGTCATTCTGGACATTTTCTATAACGCGATCAGCTTCGTCAATCACCAGGAAACGCAAATGTTTCAGTACGAAGCCTGGAGTGGACTGCAGGTGATCAACCAGTCGACCTGGGGTTGTCACTACTATATCAACCAAACTTCGGTATCCGCTCACAGCACCTGTACACATACATATTTTATTATTATAAAATTCCAGCCACTCCATAGCCAAAACAACATTTGTTTCTTGAAACTGTCTTATGTATTTTCTTTCAAGACAACAAGTCTCAAAGCTGAGACTTGAACTCATAACCTTCAGAACATACAGCAGGAAAGTAATCATTCAACTGTGACATTTCTTATGAAGAGGAAAGAGACAATAACAGAAAAGGAGGATGTGAGGACTTCTTTTACTTGATATAATTTACTCGACACAGCTTTATTTAATGTAAATTACCACAACTGACTTGAGGCAACAAGCTGCTGCTGTTCCTTGCAGAAGGAGGTCTGGCCAGTGATAAGTGCCACCTTCAGGTCTGTATGCTGCGTGTATGTGAGGAACACATGATAAACTTGCACAGCGAGGTCCTGCACTGGAAGAACCACCAGTGCCCGCACTTGTAGCACCACACGATGACGCAGTGCCTGGTAACACATCATTGTAAATATCCATTAGATCGAAACTAAAAGGACAGAAACAGATTCCTGTTATATTTATAAAACTAAAAACATTAACTTGACCCTTTGAAGCTGAAGCTCATCAAAATAATATTTAATAATTCGTTCTGTACTGCAAAGAAAACACAACTCTTCACCACTTTCTTAACGCTGTTTAAAGAAATAATTTGCGTTTATGTTGAGACTCATGTGAAATCCAAAAATACAAAATAAATTATGATTACTGAAGCAGGTAAGGAGAAACAATCTCTTGTTATATGGATTCTGTTCCCATCTGGCAGAGGAGATAAGTTAGAATCTACACTAAAATGCATACATTTTAACATAATTATTCCACAAAATAGTTCCCATCAAATGCTTTCTGCAAAATACAACTTAATTTCCAAATACACTTGCTCAGAAGTAAAGTAAATTTAACTGGTTAAACGTTGCACAAAGCAATGAAACTCTTTGACATCATTGCCTACAGCTATTACCTGTACAATGGGGATGACAAAAGTGAGGGTCTTGCCACTGCCAGTAGGTGCAGACACACACACGTCGTGCGGCCAGTACTGAGTCTGTGTGCTGTGGGCTGCTAGAAGCCAAGGGATCACCTGGGCCTGCACTGAACAACAAAATACCTTGTTCCAACCAGACATATATTTGTGACAACAGTTTGGCTTTCTTTGAAAAAAGGACGTTTATTCATCATTTCTTAGACCACTACCTTAACTTAAAATTCCAAACGGGGCAATATTTATCTCACCACAGATATAACTTTCTGACTGAAAAAGGTTAATAATTTTCATACAAGAGCAAGCATAGTCCAATAATACTTACACTAATGTCAAACCATCATATGAATACTTTGAATGAATACATTTTATTGCTTGTATTAATGTACTGTCAAAAAATTACCTGGAAAGAAGTGGGTGATCTTGTTGCGTTTCAGTGCACTCACAATGTCCCTGTCAAGACCTGGAATGTCTTTAACAGTTGTAGTCAACTGCTGGAGGTTCACTGATACTACTGATGGGTTGGCCAGCCAGTGAGGCAATACTCGCTTCACCTGTCAAACACACAGAAGTGAATACACAGAAAAGTACCACAGTACATTTACACTACAAGGTTGACTGGAAAATTGAGAAGGAAACAAGAATGTGACATTAAACTGAGCCTGAGATAAATATATTGCAGGAATGTGAACTACTATTGATGTTAAAATATATAATATAATTCAGGTCAATACACAAACTTTATTTACAGATGTTAAAATTTAAAATTTGCGCTATTCATCGTTACTACGATGTTACAATACTGCGCCTTCATTTACTACATTACCTTAATTATATTATATATTTTAATTATAAAACACAAACATGACGCATTTAAACTTTAATACTATTGATGTGTCATAAGATAAATTTAAAAATGGACTTTGTTTAAAAAAACAGAATTACTCATTTCACAAAAATATTCAATTAAGTACAGTTCACAAATTTGAACTTCACATCATGGATACCAGAATACTTTAAATACATTTAATGAAAGACCAGAAAAAAAGGTTGCTCTGAAAGACTAGGAAATAAGTGCCACAAGAGTACCAACATAACCCAGGGGAGGAAAGTGTGACATTATCACAGGTACAATCATAACCCTTCCACTGCATAGATCGAAGTTATGACACACAGAAATGCATGATGTACATCATAAACAAAAGTATTTTTCCAAATGTAACAGACAGGAATATGATCTATTTATTTTGAGAACCTCAAGCAATTAATTAATGTCCTAAATTAAAATTGAGATGAAAAGAAGAAATATAATTATAGATACAGACAGAAACCTTGTTCATATGACTGAATTATTATAACAAAGAATAATGATACGAGACTTTATTTTTTCACATTGGTGAAATTGTGTATCATAATCTGCTGGGCTATGATGCCATGCAGTTTTGTAGGTGGTAAATAATGTTTCAGAAGAATTTATCACCCCTTGTTTGGGGTAGATACTATGAAATGTTCCAAACCATCTATAAGACTTCATGGCATCGCAATTCAGAATACCACTAGTGAAATGAATAACAATGTACAATCAATTAACACATTTTTATTCACTAACATTAAAAAAGTTACTTGGCAACTATAGGTAATCAGCCTGATGTGGAAAATATGATTTATTATTGTGGTTCTTACACAGTTTGTCTAACATAACATACCTTTTGTCTCTTTTTGAACTTATCAGTCCCAATAACTGTAAATCCCTCTATTTTCTTGACAGTCTTTGCTTCTACATTTCCTCCCACATTGTCTTCACCCTCTTCAGAATCATGTATTTCCTTCCGTTTCCTCTTGTTCTTCCTTTGTGTAGTACCTTCCTTCTGTGATACAACTACGGCATCATTATCACCAGTTGTTTTACCGTGTGGAGAATATATGTGTTTGTGCTTCGTCTTGATTTCATTTTGTTCGCTTTCATGCGAATTTACTGATGGTACAGTATCATTACCAACATGAAAATTTGTATCAAATGATTCAGAATTAACTTTAGACTTCTGAACTGCCTCCCTCTGCTTTTTTCTTTCCTCGATCTTTGAAAGAAGTACTGCAAGTTTTGCCTGTTCATCTAAATCTTTATTTTCTTCAGCATCATCTCCAAAATATCTGAAAACAAAACGAGTTTAGGGAAATCTACACATAACCTATAACCCACTGACAACCACGTGAATATAAATCACAAACACCGTTATCAGCATTACAACATACCTTACCTGTTAACGACGAAAAGATCCATAATTTATGTGTTTGAATTAATTCCTGTTAATGAGATAAACACAACCTTTGAAACACGCAAATTAAAAAAAATCACTCCCACATATAACAACACCACACCATTCACGGTTACTTCTACAAATCTGGCTGCTTTCACAAAAGCAGAAAACACAGAAGTCTGTAATCCCCTCATCTGTGGTTCTTACCATCAAATATCTGCACTCAAGGCCTCGTTTACAGCTTTTACTCATTCATTGAATTTCAGGATTCAGTGATATCTGGCATAATAATAGAGGGAAATACATTACATAAAACTAACCTTTTCATACATATATAAGCAGAGATTTACAATTAAATTTCTTATGTAGCATGTAGGCCAAAACTCTGTCCTCTTTGCTTATCTAACTACAACCATTTCGAAAATTTAGTTACTATGGAATACTTCGTTTATGATCATTGATTGTTATGGTGTTCATGGAATTTTCATGGTGTTGTGAGTGTAGACCCCTTCGAAACGGGGCCAACAAATGTCTTGCGAAAGGATTCCAAAGGCAACTCGAAAAGGTCGCGGGCGACTTAAATATGATTACGACGATCTGAGCAAACTATGTTTTGATAAAGTTACGAATTCTGTAAACATATGCTCAAAGACCATTCTGCAAGAAGACAACCAAGATATCATTCACAGTCAGCATAATGGAGATAGAACGAGTGAACTAGAAATGTCCACATCAACAAATTTTTCATTATCTGCCCAAACAGAGATAGTGCATGATATTGCAGGTGAAAATGTGGATGAGTGGTTTAAACAGAGAACTGAATCTGTATCCAGTATAGATTTGGATGCAGTGATGAAGAATGATGAGATGGACACAACTTATTTAACTGAAAACATTGGACACAATTTTTTATCAAATAAAGATGTGGACATGACAAGTATAGTTACAAATATTTGTGACATAGGATTAGGTTTAGATATACCTACTAATGTATCAGCTAGCTCCAAAAGTAAACCAATTACAGAAACAGACTGTGATAATGTAATATTAAGCAATTATTCAGCAGATCAGGACACTCTTCTAAATGATTTGGATAAAAGTGACCTGTTAAGCAAGCGGGTCACAGTGGATCTTCTAGAAACTGTCAAATTACAGAAAAAGGATAATTCTTCAGATCGTGTGATTGGACAAACTAAAGGTTATACCTTGGTGGAAGACTCTTCTACTCATAGAAAACAGAATAAAACATTTAAGGCAAAACTTTGGAATGGGAGTGAAATACCTGATACACAGTCAGCAATAGAAAGTAGGAAAGACAAGACAAACTGGGAGAGAATATCAACCACAAGTAAACGAACTGCAGATGTAGATTCAGAAAAAGAAATTGATTTTCCTGAATTAAATTTAATCACTTTCCAAATTGATACCAATGATGTCATGTGTAGTATTAATCAGCTACCTCATGTACAGACAAATAATAAAGAAACATTAGTTTCCTCCACAACAGATGATAGTGGTAAAAATGTTCTGAATAGTGAAAAAGATATTTCTACTGTACCAGTAGGTATATCAAGAAAGAAACAGTTGGGCCTTTCAACAGAAAAAGATAATCTTGTGAAAAATGTTTCAAACACAAGTACTAGTACTAAAAACTCTACAACTTTGTCCAAAAACACTAAGCTTCCTAGACTAAATCCTCGTAGTCTGTTAAAAAGCCCTCTTAAACAATCAAATGGTAGAATGAAATCAAGCATTTTAAAGCCATCAGGTCCTTCTAGTTCATCCTCACGAACAAAAGCATCTGATCGATGTGGAAGGACTTCTGTTGAGATACAAGAAGGGTCAAAGGTAGTAGCATCTCCAAAAAAGGCACCAACAATGGCTATCATAGCCATATCCACAGACAAATCCAAAAATACAACTGAAATTGTTATCAATACTCCATATGGTGAACAGGTTTTTAAGGGAAAGACCACTGATTTAATGAAAGCCACATCTGGGTTATGGCCAAAGTTGGATAATAACAAGATTAAAAAAGCTGACCAGCCTCTGACTATCAGCATGATGGAGCAGTCTTCAACGTTAGATGGTAAGGAAGTGTCTATTTTGCTAACCTATGATATAAAACTTTCACAGGAAACCAAATTAATAAAATACTCTTGGGCAATCAGGGCATCTGATGATGGGAACAGAGATAGTTCCAGAAGCATTGGTGAGTTTTTACCATTGTCATGGCTGATAGCCTGAGAGACTTTATTAAGTGTCTATTTATTTATATATATTTGTTTAATGATACTTTCGGTAGCTCAGTCTATACAGAGTCAGATAAGAGGATTGGTGAATAATGAATTAGAAAGGATGTAGAAGGAAGCAAGCATGGCCTAATTTAAGGACTGCACAAAAGCTGCAACACATATTCGATAAAGGTTAATGTACCAAACATGGAAGCAGATATGGACTTGTTTTATGAGGCCATATGGATAGAAATTTTTATGTAATGAGACTTATTTCCCACAGCTTCTTACGAGGACCAAACCATACCACTGATGACTGATGTTGCAGGTGATTTGGCTGAGGACGGAGAGGAATATGGTGATCCCCCAGAAGGTGTGTTTGAGTCCCCTTTTTCTCTTCTTTTTCTTACTAATATGTTTCCACTCATGTGGGTCGTCTGACAACCAAACGTCTCTGCCCCCCCCCCCCCCCATCCTTCTTTCTGTGTGACATCTTTCAAATCCTGTTATTCCTTTCTTGATCTTGATCTCCATCTTGACTTCTTTCATATTTAGAACCTTCTTTGGAATTTTCTTTTTATTCATTCTTAAAATGTGTCTATATTATCTTATTCTGTATATTTGAACTTGCCTTAGAAGGTGTTCAAATTACCTTTGATCATTTGTCTTTCATCCCATCCTTTTGGCTTTTCTTTCTGTGTCTAAGAAGTCTCATGGGCATGTAGTACCTATTAAATAGGCATTTTGCATTTCCAGGTTATATCCCTCAGTAATTGGTAAAATTCAAAATTAAAATGGAAGTATGTCACCAAACAGAGAAGAGAGTTCAATGAATATTATCTCCCATGTATGTCTGACAGCTGTTCAAACATTCACATATCTCACAGAAATTCAGGATCATTGTTTACTCTCTGTACGTGTAAAATTTCTTACTTCTGGTAATTATTATTGTTTCCAGAGGAAGACCAACCAGTAATGGAGGCACTTGCTGAGCTCGGAATCACTGTAGACAAAGACAACATCTTCTGTGTTACAACAGGAAATGGCCAGAAATTGTGGGTTTGTCCTGTTAAGGAATGTGGCAAAATGTATCCACGACAGAGCATGCTGAAGGTTCATATCTTGAGCCATTTCAATGTTCGGCCATTTAGGGTTGGTATATTCACTTCTCTTGAGTTATATAACGATCTATTGAGGATAACTCTGATGTCCTGCTTGGATCCAGGTTTAATTCTTGCTTGGTTCGTGTTGTAATTTTAGTGTCCAGAACTATGTGCATGGTGATTTCATTATATTTTACCTGCCGTTTCTTATATGGTGAGAGATGAAAAAAATCTTATATTTTTATCAAAGAATGGAGAGCTTTAAAAACTTCAAATTAAAATTACAGAAACAATAAACAATGTAGAAAGATATTACTCATTAGTGAGGGACATTCTTTGGTTGTAAGATGTATAATTTTTTTTTTTTGTATTTGGAGAATTTTTTGGAATAATTTGTCCTTGTATACTTCCAGTGTAATTTTGCAGGATGCCATTGGTCATTTTACACATACTTCAAGCTGAAGAGGCACAAAGCAACACATCTGAAGAGGAAAGACTTTGTAGTAAGTACATTTATCTTCAGTATATATGAATAAAGGTTCTGGATTTATGTTCGTCTCATATTGTCAAAAGAATTAAATAAAATAGGTTAAATGGTCTTGCATAAAGGAGAAACACAGTTTTGGTGGAATCCAAAATGAAGGTGGAGAAGTAATATTAAAATTAATCCTAAGGATTGAATGCTTGTATTTTAAGAGCTGTAGCTATATTTCCATTTAATCCAAAATTGGTACTGGGGCTACTGAACACTATATCCGTTGAGTACCAAGGGAACTTTCCCTAAAGATAAAGACAGCTTAAGTGTAAAGCTCACTATATCCACTTCATGCCAAGAGCTGAGAATGCACGGAACTTTGTCTCTGCGCCTTCCGAGTGTTCCGACTGTGTGATAATAATAAAGAAGGCTAATCGTATGATACAATCTGTTGCAGTGCCCAGTGAAAGGTTGTGAACGCCGATTCACCACAATATACAATCTTAACACGCACCAGAAGTTGCATGCACGGCCTCTTGAGATGGTGTGTCCAGTTGAAACCTGTGCTGCAAAGTTCCAGACCAAAAGAAGTCTAGAACTGCACTTGAAATCTCATGACACACACCATGCACCATACAAGTGAGCATTTACTATTCTTTCCATTTGTATCTGTATTCACTATTTCCTTGTTCTCCTTTGTGTAACTTCATTTACGTTATCTCCCCTCCCTAGTCATTTTTCATCATCCTCAGTTTCGAAGCCTCGGAGGAATCCTGATGCTCATGTGTAACATACATTGATACCACTGTAGCCTTAATTTTACAAACTTTTCTTATTGTATTTCTAGTTTAATATCTTATCTGATGCCTTAGTTTTGCCTTAATCCATAAATCCATAGAAACTTCACTTCACTTATGTGGGTCAAAATTAATTATCTTAATAAAATTGTAACAAGGGCTGCCAGTATCAAATTTAACCAAACTTCATATACTCTTTCATCAAACTGCGAACTAAATCCAAATAAACATGGGCTCATACAGTCTGCATTCTGTTCAGTTACATTCACATATTATTAGCCTTTATCATCTATGCAGTACAGTTTATGCTTGGTCTAAGTGCTAGTGTGTCGCACTAATATACCACTAACCTCAGAACAAAGTGTATCTGGCAGGAATGTGATGCAGGGATTTAAATATCCTATTCATATATCATAAAGTTTAATAATATGATAGGTCTTCTAGAATGTCAGCTGTTCTTTGTTGTTTGTTACAGGTGTTTATACGAAGGCTGTGGGAAGCACTATTATTCACTCAACTCACTGAACTCCCACTCACGGAGCCACCAACACAAGGAAGAGGAAGTTCGTTGCCAGTGGGAAGGTTGTGGCAAATTGTTTGACAAACCATGCCGACTCAAAGCTCACATGAGGTCTCATACAGGGGACAAGCCTTATCCCTGCATGTACCCGGTAACTGTGCAGTTTGTTCTATCTGTTCAAGCCTCACTTTAGTGAACTGGTATAATCATGACATTGTGTGTATATATCTGTTTCTTAACATATGTTGAACGAATTTACCCATTTAAACTAATTTGATATTAATTTTGTTTCAGGAATGTGGGTGGGCTTTCTCGAGTGCAAGCAAGCTAAAACGTCATCAACAAAAGCACACTAATGAACGTAAATTTCAGTGTGGCATTGAAGGTTGTGGAAAGTCTTTCATGAGATCAGAACACCTGAAGGAGCATACGATTACCCATGTTGGACAAAGGAATTTCCAGTGTCCGCTTGATTGTAAGTTATTCTTTTCATGAAATATGTTTATCAGAATGTACACTTTCAAATATGGGAGTGACCAGAGTCTGTGAATACAGCAAAAAGATAAATTTATTTTTGGAACTAGCAAAATTAAATTTTCTGAAGTTCTACTTGTGGGAGTTGTCCACGCACTTTGCCGTATTTGAAACAATCCAAATCAATGCCTGTACTTCACAAAATTCAACTGGCCTCTTGTTTAACGATATAAATTGCTGATGGTACTCTGGGTTTTGACACTGTGTAGACTTGCAGGTAGATACCAACATTTTGAAGAAACATTCTGTCACCATCTTCAAGGCTGCAAATCTACACAGCATCACACACAACCCAGAATAAGAAGATTGTCATGGGAACCTCAAATTTCTGATATGTTTGTTTCTTCTCTTGGACAGATTGCGGAGTAAAATTCTCAGCAAAGAGTAGCCTGTATGTTCATTTAAAGAAGCATAATAAACCTAAATCTGCAACAGAGGATAAGGTTGTATATCACTGCCCCATAGAGAAGTGTATCAGAACATATACCTGCAAGTCCAGTCTACGTCAGCACATGCTCAAGTTCCATACACCAGTCCTTGGTACGCAAAGCTTCAAGGGACCATCTGATACCATACACTTTGTACTGACACCAGAGGAATTTAGATCCAAGATTATCTCATTTGCCTGTAATAAAGTAAAAGGAGTAAAGATAGTTTATTTCAGTAAAACTAATTGATCTGTGGGTTAAACATGTTCAAGAGTTAATAGTGACTTGTCAACACATGAAACATTGAAAATTTAACTTAAAGCATACCTAAGCTAAGATAATAATATGATAATGACATTTCTTCCTCATCAGATGCAATGGGTATATTACCATGGCTTGTAATTCAATTAACAATAAAATTAAGTATTCAAAATGGTGCAGAGTTCTTTGAAATGGAAAGGAACATGGAAGACATAGGCATAAATAGGAAGATTATATTAAAATGGACATTTAAGAAGTAGGAAGTGAGGGTGTGGACACTGGATTCATCTAGCAGGCCCTTGGGAACATGGTAATGAGGCAGGAAATATCTTGACGAGCTCAACAAGGATCTGCCACTGAAGAAGGACTTGGCTCTTTTGAGTTTTGATGAAAAGTAGAATTTAGAACAGATTGAGTCAACGCGGTGTGAAAAGTATGTTATGTAAAAGACATACGATGCACGTAAGATGATTCCTACAGGATCTAATAAAAATATGTATCACAAGCAGTGTAGATGAATTTCTGAGAAGCAATGTTGGCAGTATTACACAGGCCAGAATAAAAAGTGAAAACTCATTAAGATGAGTCTACATTAGATTTCCAACATTGTAAACTTTAACCAACAGGGTTTCATGGTTTATACCAAATTCCATTTCACATATAATTGTTTCTGTAAAAATAAGCAGTGGTACATGCTAATTTCTGCAGATAATCTGCCAGCTCTCCAAGCCAGTATATTATTATGATTTTTTCTTTCAGCTAATGATCCCAGTCAACTAGACTATATTGCATTACTAACAGGAGACGATGATCTGGCAGCGTTAGAGGGGTTACAGTTTTCTGGAGATATGACACCTGCTGTCAGTGGTGAGACTCATTATTTCATAGCAATTAGAATGTATTGAGAAATCATATAAGAGGCAAGCACTGCTCACAAAGTAGGATCTGAGGTTTTCATTTAGTTTACCGTTTTACTCGCCGCTTTGATGATGGAGGCAGCAAGGACCTCTGAAATGTTGGTAACCTTCTACCGTACTACACGGCACAACCACCCAGAATATGGCCGTCTTACACTCACAAAGATGACTGCATTCTGGGATACTGCTCCATTTAGTGTCATAGAAATTGACCAGTATTTAGCAGGCAGTGAGCACTTTCACTTACAGTACGTGTATTTCTACTTCCAGGTAGCATTAGTTCTTTAAATGCTGTCAATCTTGTTACGCCACCACCTGTGATGCTAAATGGCGGTGATTGTATGGCTTCCATTCCATCTGAATATATCAGTACAGGTATGAATGGAAAAACTGGTCAGAAGAAAAGACTAACTTTTTTATTTTAAAATTAATAATGATTAAAATCTGAAACCATGCAAGGTCTGGAAGAAGAATAATTGCAATAGAAATTTGTGAAATTATGGATATAGTTCTAAGGTCAAGTGGTATGCATGGATAAAGTAAGACAGTTTTGAGAGCATTAATAATAAAAGTTAGGAATAAACTATCATTAGGAGGGCCAGGTTAGGTAAAGAAACAAAGTAACATACGATACAGCAAGTATTGAAGTATGGATGGTTGACTTAACTTTATTCATTTCATAAAGTCCAAAGCAAACTGAAGTAAATCTTAAAAATAAACTAATACAAGAATATCTGAAGAAAACTAACACAACATTCTTGAATGTTTATACTCATAAAATGGTTAAATTTAATTTGTTTTTCATTTAGACTTCCAGTTCCCTAGTTTTCTGCCATCACAGATTTGTGCCAGTGGAAGCAGTGGAATTGGATGCAGTAGTGGCACTAACAGTGTCATAACACATGTTGTGCTCACACCACCTGAAACTCAGGTAGTGTTGCAGTAAAAACTGATTATTTGAAATAAGTTTGTCTGTTGGTCATAGCTCTCTTTATATCTGCACAGTATAAGAATATTTTAAAGCCCATTCTGCTGTGAAGCATTGAAACAAATTCTATCTATTAAATCTATTAGGTATAACGTGTCTTGTTTTGCTTTTTCAGAATTCAGCCTTTACTATGTCAAATTCAAGTATGTCTGCTGCTCAAACAAGTCAGCCAGATATTGGTGATGGGACAGATCAGCCCCTTAGTATGGCAATGTTTGAACCAGTTGCACTTGTAGCAGATAGTGGGACGGGCTCTGTGCATGGATCAGCACGAACTAGCTTCACGTACCAGGACATTGTCCGAGAGAGGGGTCGCAGAAAAGGGAACACAAGTCCACCATCTACAGACCCCAGCAGTAGTACCACAGGCATGAGAGTTCCATCAGATGTCGTTCTTGGAACAGGACTGCTAGGAAGCAGTCATGACATTGCTCATAACTTTCTGCTCCAGGTAGCTTTTTTGAATATTTGGGTTATTTGGAAAGATAAGAAACATAATGTGGATGTTTAAAAGTAAGGCAGCCTCCACATAAAGTATTATAAAGTCATGTACTGTCAACAAAAAGCGCCATCTTTTAGGAAGTGAATTATGCCCACTAGTATCCAAGGAATTTTATTTGTGTGTGGCAAAGCAAGAGTTCAAGACCTCAAATGATTTAGAATAAATAAATAATCATCTCAAATAGATAACTTCATTCTTACCTGTCTGCCTCTTTGTTACAGGATGATTTGCCAAGTCATCACCACAGTTTGTATCATGAAGACCATATGATGGCTGTGGGGTCTGGTGTTGGAGAGTTCCAGGTACTGCTGTTGGACCCACCCAACAGCACTCGCCATGAGTTCGCAGAATCAACCATTAACCTCCGAGATCTGGAATAAAATAGATTGTATGTTTCAGCACAAAACAGACTGTTCATCTTTAGTTTTCTTTGAAGTCTGTGATCAGTATTACAAGACGCTACAACTGCACTTCCTTATTTGGAGTTGAAACATCAACCTCAATTGAGGTTAAGATAAAACTCTAGGTGGTCAGACCTATTGCACACCTCAGATGTGATGACAGAAATGTGTAACATTGGTAAAATAATGATTGACAGTGGAGAACTGAAGTATTCAGAGAAAAGTTGCTCCAGTGCCATTTTATCTATTACAACTTCCACTGGACTAACCTGAGTTTGAACCTCGGTTTCTGCATTGATTATCCTGCATTTTACTTTCTTCATACAAGAAATGTATATAAATGGTTGGGTGAGATCCCCTGATGGAGGCAGTAAGCCGTTCTGAAACATATATCAGTATCTACCAGACTACATAGTGCTACATCTGACAAGACATCCATCTTGTACTCGTTGCCATGATTACCTGAAGTCTCAGAAACAAATGTATGTTTGTAATACAGTAAAACCTGGTTGTAATGGAATTACACGGGATCTGAACAGTATTCCATTTCAGGGAGATTTCTCTTTTAACACACGTTAAGGCATTTAGATAAAAATATTACACAGTACATACCTCAATGTATTTGTCACACGTTAGATGCATGTACTACAATGTTAATGAACACTACACATTTTCACTTTTTCTGTAGTTCACTCAAGTCAATGGTTGGTCGTCATTCTTTCTCTTTCGTGACAGGAATGTTCCTTGTCAAATAAATTACACTAATTACAGTTCAGAACAAATCATTTGAATAGAAAACAGTAGATATTTTGAGCAGATTATTATTTTCTGTTCATTCTTACCCTCTGTCTCCATATTAAATGTTGTATATATATTAAAGGCCATTTTATATTACTTTTCATTCTTTATTTTGGAAACCAAAGAAATGTTCTGAAAAAACAGATTTACATTTATTATATTTTCTGTTTCAGACAGGTTTTACTGTATATTCATTAGAAGCCTATGCCATAAATCGGTAGTATCCAAATACTGGCTCCAAGTCCTGTCCTTGATTATATCAGTATGGTCTGTACATTAAGGTGCTTCATTTTCACCTATTTTCTGTTTCAGAAATAAACATTCATATCACTGAAGACTTCCAAAAATTTAGCTATCTCCTGCATGTGTAACAAAATAAATTCAAGTGATATTCCCTAAATTCTGCAGGAGGCCAAAGTTGTGAGCTCCAATCATGAAGTATGTTAATATACTGATACTGATAGCATGATATAAAACAATTATAATTATGTGACATTACAATTAAATGTTATAACACTTATCTAATGTTTAATGCAGTTATATATTGTAAATTTTTGTTCTTAACTGGTGGTAGTTTGTTTGTTCTGTTGACAATATGTGTATGCAGAGAGTTTTACATTTTGTATTTGTAAGTCTGATTTTATTCAGTTCATGAAACGTGTATCAATTTTTCATGTATCAGGGAAGAAGAGTAGCTTTTAACTGCAGATAATTTTTTTGAATATCTGATGACAGAATGTCTCTGTAGAAGCTGTATAGAATTGCAGTGATGGATGCATTTGAATTGAAATATGATGTGTTTATGTTGATGATTTTGTAAAGCCAGTAATATGAAATGAAGGCTTTACTTCGTACATAACAAAATATATGTAATATTCACAATGAACTTTTTTATTATATGTGTCCTGAACAATGTGTTATTTCTTTATGTAAATGTCCATAACATTTTTAATATTACAACAAATAAAATTTAAGAAACTTGGACTTTCCTTGCAACTTATTTCACAGCTTGTTACATGTCTCTTGTATTTCTTCGACATCTACAAAATCTGAAGAGATGATCTTCTGTGCAAGATTACTGTACCTGTGAAATAAAATTAATACTCATATTTCACTAATCTAAGATAATTAACTGAGATATGTCACAGAATAGCCCTATTTAGAATACAAGTGCATCACTACAGACCCCCAGGAAGCAAATAAAGTCATGGGTCCAAGCCTTACAAAGTGATATACATTACTATAACCTCTATAAAATTCAGGTAGGAAGATTAATGCGTAAAAGGCTGTGGTTATGAAAGAAATCCAGGCAGTGCAACACAGGAACTACAGTAAAATTAGATGGAAAAAGGTGAAGTTTCCTGTGTGCCAAAGCATAACCATAAATGTATGAAGGAAGCATGGAAGAACTGCTCCATGTCATAAACTGAACTACTTTACCCCCTTTCCAGAGGGTGGACCCTGGAATCAGTCCCTGCCCTTACCATGAATTAAACACTTGGTTTTCCAGACCGAAGTCAATGCTCGACTCCCAACACAAAGTGTTCGAAATCCACCAAGTCATTTTGGATATGAAACAAGAACTATGGGAAATATCTCCCCATTAAGAATTCATTGCATGCACTTCTTAAAAAGCCCATGTGCAGAAAACCAGAGTACAGCTGAGCCAGACTATGAATTTGTGCAAATCTAACTTTCAATGAGAAGTTGCACAGTGCAGATAAATGTCTGATGTGGTATACCAACAGTGAATATGGACACATTTCCTGAATATATAGACAAGTGCTTCTCCCTTTCTTTACTGTCCAGTTCCTATACCTAACAGTGTTTTCCTGTAACAGTTCAGTCTCTGTGCAAAGAACTTTCATACAAGAAAAAAAAAAAATCAGGGTCACCAGAATTTTCCTTACTTTTCCATTCTGATGGCTCGTTTTGACTTTAGAGGAACAGGTATTTCTCCTCCATTCTTCATTGCCTCGTAAATCTGGAAGAAACGAAAGTCTCATAACAGTTTTGGAATTTATTGTGCCTAACCTCACACAATAAGAATAGAATAAGTATTATCTACAAAATGTTACTGTAGGAAATACAAATCAATGTAAATATGCCCTTTATAAAGAACATTGTCTATCTTCATGTTCTTTTTCCAGAGAATTCATTAGTTAGATGATGATAATACTCACATTCTGAGCTCTGTTACAGGCAACAGATCCAAGAAGAACTGCTTCTGCTATCG